ACCTGGAGCAGTTGGCGACCTCAACACTGATCCCGTAGCACTGCTGGCCGCCACACTGAGGTGCAGGGTTGTCACAGGCTCGAGTCCGACACAGACAGGACCCCGCACTGCCTCCATCATTATGGCTACAAGTCGACCATCCCGACCAGGCACCAAATCCCCCATCGACTGTGACATTGCGCACCTGTTAGCAACAAAAAAAAAAAAGGGCCAAAAATAAAGCATTTCAAACTAATGGCTTTTCTCGAAAACTGGTCATTGCATTAGGGAGACGCTGGCAGGAACGTGTTGCTCTGGGAAACGCAGCCCACAAGCACGGGTGGATGCAAACAGAAATCAATTTCCCTCAAATAGATGCAAAGATAACTGCATTACATCATCTAAAGCACATCTGAAATTGTGCAGTTATGTGCTGTAAACACGAGGAAGATATACGAAAATTGTCTCAGGATATGATGAGATTCTAAAACAGAAAAAAAAAAAAAGCAGAGATTCAGAAAAAGGCAGACGAAAGCCGTGAATGGACACATTCAAAGGACAGAAATATGAGGAAATAAAAGTGGCTTCATAAATGAATATCTGAACCAAAACAGAATCAAACAGGAAGGCTCCGATATTGCAGGAGCTATGAATTACGAGTGATGTCCTGGGCATACGAGCTAAATGCAAAAAAGGCGCCGGTGTGAGATTTGGGGCTGCAAATGCTATGAGCCATGTCGCTGCTACATTTCAGGGTGATTTAAAAATGCAAAGAACACTTTCACAGAAGGAGAAGAGGGAGCACGATCATCAGCTGCTTTGGCAGAAGCAGAATAACGTCTGCCCTGCCCTCTTATTGGTAATTGAACTCTGCCGTGTGCCTAAATGGGGTACGCTTGGCTGAGATAGACAACATCTGCATCAGTGGGCTGCCTGGAAAGCAAACAACTATACAGAGACAGCCAATGCAGCAGTATCACAAGATCATCTACAGCTGTGAATATAAATGATAGAGGTATATTACCTACTCGATGAATATTTCATGCAGCAAATCTCTCATTGAAAAATAAATTAAAGAAACGGAAATAAATAATTTTTTCTTTTACTGGTGAGAAATGTGTAATTTCTTTCATTAACATGTCAAAATAGGAGGGAAAGGACACTAGAAATGGGATGATAGGTCAAATCCGAAGGATGATAAAAAAGCACTCATGCTTTATGTGGATTACAAGAGAAATAATTTCTTTTTACAGACTGAAAGTGCAACAGATGTGCATTTTTTTTATTTTTTTTTATTTTAAATTCTAAAGAGTACTGTAACATCATGTTTGAGTGAATACTGGCAAAGTGGGTGTCTCACAAAAAACATAGTGAGGAGAAGTTTCCATTTTACCTGAGCAAAACCTTGAAACTATATTTTGCTTGTTTCCATACAGCCATGAGACTGTAGTGCCAGATGGCGTTTCTGAATAGGTTGGTAAAGCGTATCTCCTGTCTCTGCCTACACAACACAACTCAGTGTGCAAACCCTTGACTGGCCTCCAGCGCCAGACTTTCACTTTGCATGAAGAACACCACAGAGCAGACTTTCAGCCATTTTCGTCTTTTTCAAACTGTTAATGGACTCATAGGGAGTGAAACTGTAACTGTGATAAAAGACTACTTTGCTTTTTAGATCTTGGCATAAAATTGTTGCAAACTCACAATTTTCCTGTTCTGGTCTGACTTCAGACCCCCTATTGTACGGCCATTTCTCGCTGTCAACATACAAAGTTATTACTGCCAAAGTTAATTCATGCTCACTCTAAATGGGCCTGGTTAGACTGAGGTTGACTGAGTAAATACATATTCCATCAGTGGTGTGGGCTGTGGTAGCATGTGGCCAACTGAAAATACATAAAATATTAGAGGCTGCACTGCTGGGAATATGACTATTATTTTTGATTAGATCCTGCATATAAAGCAATCGTTTTACATTTGTGGAAACTGTTTTTTTTTTTTTTTTTTTGCAGACGATACACAGCTGTTTTTTTGAACATTTATTATGATGCCAAAGCAACAAGACAGCTAGCTTATCATATTTAATGAAAAATGGGATTTTAAAAAAAGTGGTGGTTTTATGAAAAGGCATAACTTGTCATTTG